GAAAAAACAATCAAGGGGAGATCATCACCTAAGAAACACATTGCCATTAAAGAGAAGACAAATGACATTTGTCCTACTCACCTGTATGGTTAAAATGTGGCATTATCCTCCGAATGTGATTATTCATGTTTTTCTTAACACCCAATATAAGATGTTTCCTAAAGTTGACAAAATCCTGGGTATCACTGCTTAGTTTCCAGTACTGAGGACACTCATCTTCAGATCTGAAGGTTTCAATAGGTATATCATCTACTTTGCCGACAATATAAAACTCTGAAGACTCAGTTCCACTTGTAGTAAGTGTTATGTAATACCATAAAGAGTGAGTACCTGGGGCGGGGAAAAGAGGAGCCTGATTATTTATTGCTGCTGGAAAAATTAATCAAGTGACTGGCTGAACTAAAACGTCAAAAGAAACCGAGAAACACTATGTAAAAGATCCACAAACGCCACACGTTTTAGTAGGATTCACCCACAGCATCGATCAAATCACATAATCCTTCATATCACCTAAAATTGCAGAATAAGCAAAACTTGTACATCTAACAGAAATGTCATGTCTAAATCGCATGTCTTGTCGTCTACAGCTTTTCAGATCCCGCACTTCCTTACCATCGGGTACATTTACTTAAACCACCACTGTAGCCTGTAGTATAACAGAAAAAACTCTCTCTATATATAAAAAACAACTCGCCCCTTCATATGACCATGTAAGTCTGCAGACTTACGGCAGAAAGCTAAGCTGTTACAGCCCACATTTGTTGTATCATTATTTTAAGATTTGATCCCACCGTCCCTTTTCCAGTCGCGATCATGTTCACTATAAGCAGTTTGTAAGGTGGACTGACGCATGTATTTTCACTTATCTATAGCAATAGATGACAGAAAATTATAAAATTCATGGTAAACATTCTTTTCAACTGCGCAACTGCCGGAAGTGAAAGAAATTAAAATGAAAGTAAAAAAAACACGACAACAAAACAATCATTGGAAAATTGCAAGTCTTCTTCCTATATGGTGTATATCAGGAAAGTAACTCATTAATAACGGTAAAATTAAACACGGGCTTCGGAATGTTTGGCTCGGCAAGCAATGGGAACTTTAATCGTGCGAGAGAAGGCATACCACAACTCGGCCTGAAAGTTTAACAATATGCAAACTCCAAAGCTGGAACAGGAATCAAACTCACGGCATTCGACAACAGTGCTCACCAACTAGCCATCATGCCTTACGAACACCTTCCTCGAGTAAACTTACTTAAATCACCATCCTACCTCGTCACTGGAAAAAAAACTCTGTAAAGACACTACTGCACATAATAAAATTGTAAACTTACCTGCAGAAACAGGTACCAGAAAAAAACTGATGATAAATATCCTCAACTGGGACATTGTCGAATGGGCAAAAAATGAAAATGAAAATAATCTTAAAAACTTGTGATATGATCCCCTGACCCACCTGTGGTATCATTAAGGTCATTGCACTGATATATGCATGGTAACTGATTAACATCTCGCTCTGCCCACATCTTGCCCCCCCATCCCGCAGGCTGCAGCAAGGTGTACTTGTCAGCAGAGTGCGAATTACCCCTCCATAATTGGGGGGTACTGCCTTCATAACACTTCTATGACCATTATGGTGTGAACCGGATACAATTTGGGATAAACTCTGGATTCATTGTTTCTATTATCTTTGCATCAGTAAACATATAGTTATGAAAAGAGCCCCTGTGCCTTTATCATGCAGAAATGTAACAAATCATTTTCAACCAATAATTTCCTGCTTAGATTGACTCCCCCTCTCTTTCTGCATCCAAGTCATATTGAATTGCATCACATTTTTCATCGCATCGTATCATGTTAAATTGCATTGTGTTGAATCAAGTCGTGTCAAATCGCACTGCCTCACAATGGGAGTGAATCACATCGCATTGCATTTGTAGTTGCTTCATATGTACTGTATCTTTAATGTATCAGATCATTGGCAATGCATCGAGATGTGTATCACATCGGCCTCAGGGATGGAGATGCGCATCCCTAATAAGAACCGTATCTCATCTGTGAAACATGGCAATGGTAGCATCGTGATTTTGGGCTGCTTTGCTGCCTCTGGACCAGCATGACTTGCCATGACTGGTAGGACTATGAATTCTGAATGGCATCAGCAAATTCTACAGGAAAATCTCAGGATATCCATCCCTGAACTGAAGTGCAAGAGAAAGTGGATTATGCAGCAGGACAATCACCCTCCATTACTCAACCCTTTCTACAAATAATGGTTAAAGCAGAGCATCCATCCATCCATCCATC